TCTGTCCCCGCCTTTCTGACAGCCCCCTGGCAGCCCCCAGCAGGTCTCCCCAGCTGGAGCCTTCTCCTCTGTGGCTGCCCCAGCCCAACTCTCTCCTGCTGGGCTCCCAGCAGAGGGGTTCCCTCCTCGGGGCATTGCTGGGGCCCCTCTGGCCCCACTCCAGCAGGTCTCAGTATTTTCTTTCAAAATGGAAAGAAGGATACCTTTCATAGAATCACAGAATGGTTTGGGTTGGAAAGGATCTTAAAGATCACCTAGTTCCACCCCCCCTGCCATGGCCAGGGACACCTCCCACTCAACTAGGTTGCTCAAAGCTCCATCCAGCATGGCCTTGAACACCTGCAGGGATGAAGGATCCTCAGCTTCCCCAAAAAACCTGTGCCAGTGTCTCACCACCCTCACATCTTTACTGGGGAAAGTTCAGGCTTAAGGATTGGGCCCCTCCACAAGCTACATGCATGATACTGGTGCCCTCTGGACTAGTTCACTAGCTGCCTATTCAGGTATCAGCACATGGGGACCCACCAGTCTCCCCAAAACCCTTGCACCCCTCCCTGTCCTCCCATCTGCTTGAGACACTTCCTGTCTCTCCCAGCTTAGGGGAGAGCTCTGTCCCAGTATGGGGGGATGCAGATTCCCTGTCAGCTTTCCAGGGCTACGTTCAAAAATCTATTTCTTCATTAGATATTTTACAGCCGTCCTGCTGGTCTCTTTGACTGGCCAAAACACATTCCCAAGCCAGCAAAAATTGGCAGGAGTTTCCCTCTGGCTCTGCATGGACATCCATTAACACCCCCGGGCAGGGAAGCCGTGCAGGGTCCCAGCAGCTCCTCGAGGGGCTGGCTGATGGAGTCCATGGCAGGATGATTGAATCCCCACACGTGAGCTGGGAGGATCTGCAGACGCATCACAGAGCGGGATTAAAATTCCAAAAGCTCTTGGAGAACTGGAGGAAGATTCCAAAAAAAGCCAGGATGGAATTCCACAAAACCAGCAAGCAAGGAGTGGAGTTTGGGAAGAGTCAGAAGCAGGACCTGGGGGTCTGGCTGAACTGGCAGAGTGCTGCAGCAGGAAGACTGCTCCAGGCTCCAGCCAGAAGGAGCCCATGGGGGGTGGATGGAAGAAGATGGCCAGCAGCAGTGTGCAAAGAGGCTGAAAAACTGGTTGGCTGATCTAGAGAAAGGACTGAGGGGAGATGAGAGAACCTGCAGCTGTGCCAAGGCTGCTGCTGAGAGAAGGGTGGCTGCCCCATGCCACTGTGTGCTTGTGGGGCAGGCAGGGTGGCCAGGAGATGCCAGACCTTTTTTACAAGGGTATGCCACTAGCCAGGCTGGGAAAGAGCTCACATCACAGTCAGGGGTGGAGAGCAAGGAGCCTTTCAGCATCTTCCAACTCCTCTGAGGATTAAGGAGGGAGGGCAGGGGGGGAAATTAAAAAAAAAAAAAAATCACAGAATGCCAGAGGGGACTTGTCTGGGAAGTGCTGGCATGACCCAGGGCTGACAAGATGCCCAGGTCCAGAGTGGTCCCTCCACCACAGGAGCATCACCACCCACCTTGTGCCAGTCTCCTTCATTAGCCTCAACTAGTCCTTCCTTGGGGGACATCACCCCACAGCAAGGAGGTGACCTCTTCCATCACCTCAGGTGTCTGAGCCCGACCCACAGCCTCGCCACAAGGGTCACCCAGCCCTGGCTGCACCCAGGGCCCGTGCTGCTGGTGATGGGAGTCACTGCCAGGTGCTTCCAAAACATTCATCTTTTGTAAAATAATACTCAGCATCTGAGAGTGCTGTGGGGTTTGGTTTTTTTCCTCAAATGTGAGGTCTGGTCCAAGCCCATCCAGCAACCCCAGGTCAGCAGGGTCCTATTTTCTGGCTCACTCCTTCCCGTTCTCCTGCCAACACTGTATCTGAACACTCCTGTCCTTGCTGGCAGCAGGGGTCTGCCTCGCCCGGGGGATGTCACAACTGCTGAGAGGTGCCTGCCAGGCTCTGCTCTGCCCTCAAGGAAGAGCTGCCCCTTCTGGGGGAGCAAAGAGTCCAGAACCCAACTGGAAAAGCATCCAGCTGCTCTGCTTCTTCCCCCTCGCAGCTTGTAGCAGCCTGAGGTCATTGCAAGCAGGAAATTCTTAATCCAGAAGTGAAGGTTAAACGCAGAGGGCCAAGAACGCTGTGGATACCAGAAAGCTCCATCCCCCCAAAGCCATAACGAGCAGTAATTCGTCCTGCACAGGGGCCAAGCCCACACGTCCCAGGCTGGGATTTAGGGCAGCCTCTCCCACCATGTAGCTGCAGGTCCCTCGCCCAGCTCTCCCCCCATCACCGTCTCTTGCTGATGCTCTCACTGTTTTCTAATCTCCCGTAGCAAGGAGGGAAAACGTTTCTCCAGTGCAAGCCACTGGCTGACAAATGTAAATCTCTGGGCCGTGTTCCTAGGAACTTAATAGCAACAGGCTGAAAAATCAGCCACGGGGTGCTAAAAATAAACAAACTCACAGAAGAATTTGGCTCGGTCTCACTTCCTCACGTGACACCTCCTGCCTACAAGGAAACATCATCTGCAGAGCTGTGATGATCTGCACAGAGCATCGAAGAAAATCGCCCCAGCTGTATTTGTTCAAGCCACAACCCTTGTGCCACCACCCAAATGCTCGTGCTGCTTTTGTCTCCAAACTCTCATCTTCACAGCAAGGATGGAGGCAACCGAGTGAGAAAAGAGCATCCCCACATGCCCCGGGGCTAATCTCTGGTGGGTCAGCCCCCAGCTGCAAACCCTGAGCCACCCCCAGCACCCCACGAGCGAGGAGGAAGAGGAAGGGAGGGGACTTACTCGAGGAATCGTGTGATGTACTCCCGGCTGCAGCGGGACCAGGTGAGTGGGGATGTGTCATACAGGAGCTGTGGAGACATGATGAAAGGTCTTTTCCCAACTGGCTCACAGTCATTGCTGCTTCCATCATGCTGAATCCCAAAACTGTGTAAGAGCACAGTCCCACAAAGGAGAGGTGAGCCGCACGCCGCTACAACCGCGCAGCCTCTCTGCTCCCCGGCCCCGCGCCCCGCCACCACCCAACCCCTCTCTGGGTGGAGAAGGACCCTGAAGGTCATCGAGTCCAGCTGGTAACCCGGCACTGCTGGGTCACCACCAACCCCTGTCCCTCAGCACCATGGATCTGGCCATGAGGGACATTTTAGTGATACCAGGGGTACTGCCCTGAACTTTGTTCCGGGCTTTTATTTCAGCTTTCTGACTGAAAACTCAGCTGAGGAAAAAGTAAGAGGGCTATCAAACAACACCAAGTTAATTAAACTTATTGGGTATGTGTTTTTACCATAAAAAGATATCATAGAATCACGGGATGCCAGGTTGGAAGGGGCCTCAAGGACCATCTGAGCCAATCTTCCTTTCATATCTACTATGAACTATAATGTTCAAATGATCTTGCCAAAACTTAATTGAAATTAGGGCCAGTAAAATTCTGGGACTGATTCTATACACAGACCTTTTTTTAAAACTTCTCCAAAAACCTTCATCCCCAGCAGCAGAGGACAACATATATCAATATTACATAATATAATATTATATAATCTATATACAAATGCAATTTTCCTAGGCTGCCTTGGACTATGTGATCATCATTGAACCTGGGGCCTCCAAAACCTGAACTCTGAAATGCCATTCCCAGGGTAAGTTCTCACAGGTGCAGAAGAAGCTTTGCACCCGTGAGGAGCCACTTGTCAACCTTCTCCCAACTTCCACCCGCGACCGAGGAGCACAGAGGACAGAGCTCAGAGGGGAGGAGCAGGGAGCTGGTGGTACCTGTGTCCGAGCTCATGGGCCACGGTGAAGGCCAGGGGCAGCCCCGTGTCCTCGTTGATGTTGCAGCTCCTGTGGGGCTGGCACATGCCCGCCACGTGGGACAGCCCCAGGGTCTCGCAGGGCCTGTTCATGGCTGCGCAGATGTCCTTCCTTGGGCCAGGGGTGGACGGGAGGCACACACAGACACAGAGCAGAGAGGGGTTGAGGGCGTGGGACGGAGCGCGGCACGTGCCCCAGCCCACGGGGAGGCCCACGGACACCGGCCAGACAGGAGTGAGGATGGAGACATCCAACATCCTTCCACAAGGGAAAGATTTACAACCTCTCCTTTCCCCTTTACTCTCCCAGTATCCCCAGTTCATTATTAAGCCTGATTAATGGGAGCGGCGAGCCAGCCTGGCTACGTTTATTCCATTGTATAAATAAAGCTGATGCTGGGAATAATTAAGCAATTACTACGTTGCTTGTGGAAGCACATCCCAGGGGTGCTGTGGTCCCGGGCAGAGGAGCTCCAGCCACCCAGGAAGAACAACTCCACTGAAGTATGTGACCTTAAGTGCTTTATTTCTGCTACAAAGCAAACTTCAGAAAGAAGATAAAGCTGTTGTGGGTTGTGAATCATCACACAAACCACCACGATGCTGCCAGCAGCCAAGTCAGTGCAGCCCGAAACCATCAAACTACATTTTGACTGCAAGGTATATAAACTTGGCCAGAGGCACGAATTCCTGCACGCTTCATGGGAGGTCAGGGGCCTTCCCAGAGGCTCCTCTGCCAAGCCCAGCATTAGCCTCCAAGGGAAAAAGGCAAGTTAATCCCTGTGTACATCTGCTGGGAGGATCCAGCCATTCTGGGGCTTGGCAATAGGGCCATGGTGAAAACCTGGCTTGGAAACCCCAACTGCTAATCAACTGGGAGCTGTCTCCACGTTTAAATCTGAGAGTGGGCACCAGTTCCAGCCACTAGGACCAGATTCTCTCCAGATTTCATGTACAGGTGCCCATGCAGGGCTCAGACATGGAGAGTGAGATGTGAACAGCTCCCATTGGGATGTTCCTCTGGCTTCACTGCTGCCTGCAGCCAGCAAATGAGCTTCTGGCTACCTGTGTAGCATCTACAGCATAAAAAGAGCCCATGGGCACAATACCTTGTGAGCAGGACTGCAACGTCGTGATGTAGGGGATGGGAATCTCCTTTAACATTGATGCTCTTCTGCCATTTGCAAAAGCTTTTCAAGGTGTTGTCTGCATGGTGGGAGATTTTCAGATCCTCCTGCCAACATAATTAAAAGCTTGCTGTCAGATTGCTGCCAGGTCTGTTGGGTTTTTAGAATGCAGTGGGCAGGGGTCTGATCTCAGACACAACAGAGTGGAACCATGGAAGCACAAAATGGTTTGGGTGGGAAGGGATCTCAAAAGGTCACCTAGTCCAGCCCTCCTGCAGGGAGCAGGGACATCTGCAGCTAGAGCAGGGTGCTCAGAGCCCCGGCCAACCTCACCTGGAATGGTTCCAGGGATGGGGCAGTGACCACCTCTCTGGGCAGCCTGGGACAGGGGCTCAACACCCTCAGTGTCAAACATTTCTTCCTTCTCTCCAGTCTAAATTTCTCTCTTTGAGTTTCAGACCATCCCCCCTTGTCCTGCCACAACAGCCCCTGCTCCAAAGTCTGTCCCCAGCTTTCTGACAGGCCCCTGGAAGTCCTGGCAGGCCACACAAAGGTCTTCCTGGAGCCTTCTCTTCCCTAGGCTGACCAACCCAAACTCTCTCAGCCTGGCCTCACAGCAGCGAGGTTCCAGCCCTTGGATCTTTGTTGTGGCCATCCAGATGGAATCGCTCCACACTAATAGGTTGTAGGCTGGGTGGGAATACAGCCCTTCTCTGCTTCCTTTTCATCTGTGATTCAACCAAAACATTAAATCATCCAGCAAGGGGGGTTGAGAAACACTGTGGGGCAGCATCCCCTCCTGTGCTGGCTGGGGGTGAAGGCCACAGCCGGGGAGTCTGAGTGGCGTCAGAAAAAAAAACCCCCCGCCCCCCAGCCACCCGCCCCGGTCAAAACCTGCCACCACAACCAGACCCTGCAGCTCCTCCCACCACCCCGTGCCCCCCCAGAGGGCAGGGACGCCAGGCACGGGGGCCTTTGTCTCCCACAGCCCCACCCAGGCCACGGAGGTGGCAGGAGACGGAGCCCGTGGGCTCGCAAGGCCGGCGCCACGTGGATCCCAGCCTGGCTGCCAGGGCCCGGGCTGAGTCACTCTGTTTTCTTCTCAGGGTTGTTTTCTTTTTACCTCCTCGTCCTCCAGCAGGATGAGTCGCACTATGGCAATGTTGATGGGGTTCCCAATGCTGGCGTGGTGGAACAGACCCGCCACCTGCAATGCACAACAGCCAAAGAAATAAAGCCCCAAAAAAAGAGCTTGCCACGTGACAGCGCAGCTGCTAAGAACATCTGCAGGGGAACGTGAGCTCCAGGGGAAGCTACTGAAGGTTGTTGTTGACAACACCTCAGGGAGTTCCCCAAAAATTGTATAATGGGTTATGTTGGAAGAGACCTTCAGGATCATCCAGTTCCAGCCCCCCTGCCATGGGCAGGACAACTCCCACTAGAGAGGGTTGCTCCAAGCCCCATCCAACCTGGCCTTGAACACCTCCAGTACTGGGGCATCCACAGCTTCCCTGGGTAACTTGTGCCAGTGTCTCAGCACCTTCAGAGTGCTGCCAGTGTGAAGCCATTACCCCCTGCACTGTCACTGCAAGCCCTCATAAAAATTCCCTCCCCAGCTTTCTTGTAGATAAGCACCTTCAGATGCTGGAAGGCCTGGAATGAAAGACAGAGAAGACCCAATGCAGACCTGGAGTAAAGCTCAGAGTGTGATAATTAATACCAATTTAAAATTGATACAGTCTGTGCAGCACACTGAAACTCCACCAGGAATGCCTGGGGGAATTCCTCTGCTTTCACTCCAAGAGATGTATTTAACATCTCAAAGGCAGCCTGGACTCTCTGGGTGCCTTCACCAACCCCCCCAACACCCAGGGGTGTTACTGGGAGGTTCTCTGCCAAGTCCCACCCTCTCTTCTGGCCATCAACCAAAGCCCTCTTCTGAAATACAAATAGGTGCTACCACGGCAGCAGAAGAGTGAACAGATTAAACCAACTCATGCTGACTTACCTGCTTGTTTTATGGCACCAGTAACCTCACCAAGATTCCTAGTGGAAACCACTACAACTTGGTGCTCCTTCCCTTAACTATCCTCAGTGGCACCTTCCCAGAAAGCTGTTCACATCTCTCCTGCTAGCCAGGCTAGTCCTGACATTAGCTCTGACAGCAGCTCCCTCTGTGGGCATGGTCAGCACCAAGTTCAAGGGAACCTGAGCCAAAGCTCCCAGGTCCCTGCAGGTTTCTTCTCCTGTGAGGAGGTTTCCTTATCATGCAGAGGGTGGTGGGTGGCCCTTGTGCAGGTTTTGGGGTGGTTCCAGCCCCAGCTGTGTTCCCACACCCAAGCTGCCTGAACATCTGCCCGGAGAGAGCTGTGGTGGCACAACCATGGGTAGCACCCACCAATTCCCCTCCCTGGAGCATCTCTGCCCTTGGGGTATCTTCCTGGGAGGCCATTTTATGCATCCTCATGGTGGGAAAGAAGGGAGAGCCCTTGAGCCCCATGGGGAAGGTGAAGCTGCTACAGGCTGAGCTGCTCCTGCCTGAATGAAAATTTTGACCTCAGGCTTGCCGACTCTGATCCATCCTCAGAGCACTAAGCAAGGCAGAGAAGTCAATGTGTGGGTGGGAACAGCCTGTCTGGGGAGAAGTCTGCTGAGGTCCCACCAAGGATGAGTCCTGGCAAGCTCACTAGTCTTTATGTCTCATAGCTGTGTCCCCAGGGAGTCGGTGGCTCTGCCGTTGAGAGGAGCAGGACTCACCATGTTCATCACGGTCAGCACGTACTTCTCTATGTTCTGGCTCCCGTGGTATTCTATCATCTTGGTGTCTGCCACCACCAGGGTTTCCACCCACTTCTCCTTGCTGATGGAGCGCTGCTTTATTCTTCTCTTCCTGTGCTGCTTCTGTTCCCATCTTTCCCTCCGCTTCTCAGACCTCTCCAGGCTCTCCTGAGATTCTGAGGGATCAAAAGGGGGAAAAAAGACCTAAAAAGACCATTTTTTTTTTTTGTAAAATGTTTGCAACTTTGATAAAGCATCATCGAGGCCTTTTTTTATTTTTAATTCAAAGAAATAACCTTTTGATGTTGAGAAGGAGGCTCCATACTTAAACCTGTAACCTATGTGTACTTTGCTGTGCTGTATGTTCCAAAAAATCACTGGGGGGGTGAAGACTCTGACCTCAGTCTGTTGCATGATAGAACAAAAATAAATAAAGCCTTTGAAGTCATTTCTTTGACTGGAACAGGGATTGCAATATTCCAAGAGGGACAAGGAGCCTCCCAGGGTGTATGTATGGACATAGAGATTCACAGGCAGCCCTGCAGAGGAGCTTGAGCATGTGCCACTGAGGAACAGCCCCAGTGTCTCAACCTCTCTGAGTGGCATCACAACTCTGTGTTTTGAAGGGATAGACAGTTCCCCAGCACGACAACCTCTGCAACCCAGAGCTAGACTGATGTCCTGAGCCAAAAACCTGAAGATCAGCGGCACCCGAGACGCCGCAGGACCGCCCAGAGATTTCCTGGGCCCCACAGAGACTGAACTCTGCTCCCTCCTGGGGAGAAACAAGGGGAACGTTCACTGGGCTGAGGGGAGGCAGGAGGAGGAGAGCTGGGATGCTCCTCACGCACCCCAGCAACTGGGAATTCTCATGTGGAGACTTTTCCTGTGACGTTGCTCCAAGATCAAGGTTGGGGTCAGCCCCAAGCTGGGTGAAGGCTTTACAAACCCCATCCCACACAGTGGGAATGGCTTTTATGACCGTTTTCTAGTGCTCAGCCTTACTTGGTTAACAATGGACTTCTACATTTTATAGACTCTGCTGTCCGTTAGCTGTGAAAGAGGGTTTTATCCCCCAGCCTGAAAAATCCCAGCTATCTGGATAATTTGATGAATTGCCAATGCCACTGTGACAGTTTAATCACAAGAGCTTCCTTGGAGCCTGGTCCCATTGTGGTCTTTGCTGCCACGCTGATGTGAAGGGACTGCAGAGAGGATGGGTGAGAGGGCTCCCAGGGTCCCAGGGAAGGCTCCTGTGGCATTTTCCCTCTGCACCCCCTCTCACTTGCCCAGCTGTACACACAGGCTGCACCATGTATTGACACAAGCTAAACAACACACAAAGTCCAACATCATCTGCCTGGGGGGGCTGCAAAGAAAACGGGCAGCTCATCAGTGCAAAGTGAAAGGGTTGCAGTAATTAACATCCTACAGACTTTGGGTTTCCTGTCCAGGGCACAGACATCACACCTACTTTTGCAGCCCAGACTGCTGCAGAGGTCTGTGTGCATTGCATACAGACCATGCTGCATCCAGTGGAATTCATTCATTCAAAGCCTAAAAGGAGACATTAAAATCTTTGCCACAGAATTGTAGAACTGTTTTGGCTGGAAGAGATCTTCAAGATCATCAAGTCCAACCATGCCCCAGCACTGCCAGGTCCCCACTGCCCCGTGTCCCTCACACCACATCTCCACGGCTTGGAAACCCCTCCAGGGGTGGGGACTCCACCACTGCCCTGGGCAGCCTGGCACAGCCCTGGGCAACCCTCCAGGGGAACAAATTCTTCCTCAGGGACAACCCCAACCTTCCCTGGGGCAACTTGAGGCCATTTTCTCTTGTCCTGTCAAATGATGGACACTGGGAGCCAGATGCTGGGGTTTAGGACTAAAAAGTCTGTGGAGGCAAGGCATGGGGCTACAGCTTGGACCTGCTCCTTTTATCTCCTTGCAATGGGTTTCACACGAATCATGGCACCCAGCTGCTACTAAATCATTGCACAAATGCAAGAGGAAAGGGACAATACCTTGCACACCACAGGTTTCCTGTGGAGCTGGTGGTCTCTTGCCTTGCTCTGATCCATGCTGGGGGGCCTGGCGCTTGTATATCCTGTGGGGCTGTGCCACTCCATCCTCCTGAAAGCTGGTGGACACTGGCTCGATGAAATAGTCCTCGTTCATGAGCTGAAACACACCTTTCTGGAAGGGAAAGACAAGGCTGTCACCGTGAAGCCATCTGCATCTGGCACAGATTCACACTGAAAAACCCAGGAATGGGAGAGGGTTTGCAAAATTTTTCCAGGAAAGAAAAAGTCTTATCTAAAGAAACTGGGTTTATGTGATTTTAAGCTGTAAAATCCCAGACAAAAGAGGACAAGCCAGCATGGAGTGAGCACTGAGAAAGCAAAAAGCTAAAGAAATCCCTTCATGGACTCGATGGTCTTAAAGGTCTCTTCCAATCAAAATGATTTCATGATTTTGTGATGTTATTCTACACGCCCACCACCTCCAGAGAGCCCCAGCACCTCCATCATCTCATGGACCCACCTGGGCATGGGGCTCTGCATGTCAGGGAGCTGCCAAATTATACAGTAACACTTCTGCAAACCCTTGATGGGTTTTAACCCCTGCAGGGAGCTGGGACCTGTGCTCTGGACGCGACCACGTGCAGATACAGGCATTTACACTCAGGTCCTGACTTTGCCTTGCCAAGTGCCAGCACAAGAGTCTTATCTGTGAAAAAGTCACTTTGCCTTTCAGCAAAACTCTTAGAGGTCACTGTTACCTTTGAAAATATTGTCAGTGCAGTAAGGGAACAAGGTGGTGATGGTATTCCCAAAATCCTGAAGTAACTACACTACACATGACCCGTGTTACCAGCAATAGAGGGGTAGTGCCAGCGCAAGAGTCTTATCTGTGAAAAAGTCTGCCTTTCAGCAAAACTCTTAGAGGTCACTGTTACCTTTGAAAATATTGTCAGTGCAGTAAGGGAACAAGGTGGTGATGGTATTCCCAAAATCCTGAAGTAACTACACTACACATGACCCGTGTTACCAGCAATAGAGGGGTTGGAACTGGGTGATCCTTATGGTCCCTTCCAACCCTGACAGATTCTGATCTGTTTTAGCAGAGGACTTTAGAGCCCTAATGGCTCAATGGTTGGACTTGACTATGTTGGAGGTTCCTTCCAACCTAAATGATTCTATGATTCTATGATTCTAATACGCCCCGGCTCCCAACACCTTGTTTCCAGACACGTTTCTCACAGCCCTGCATTTATGCACTAGAAGGTGGAGGCAATAGGCAAATTGCTCTCTGTGGGAATTCGGACACAGGCAAGTAAACGCAGCCCCAGAGATTTCCCAAACCACCAGAATCCATGGGAAACTCCCAGTCAGCTCCCCCACAGCCACACCAGACCTCCGTGATGAGATCCTGACCGCTGCTGCTGTCAGGAGGAGCTTTGGGATCGCTCTCAGGGAGAAAAGAGCTTTCTCTCCACACAGTCCTGCCATTCCCTTAGCCATTAAAATCCCTGCACTTACCAGACCATCACACGTGCTGAGTGCAGCCAGCCCCCCCGTGGGCGCCGGGCCCCGAACCTCCCCGATCATGTGGCAGGAGTTGTGCCCCTGAGGCCGGATCTTGGCGGTGGCGATGCCCCCGAACCGCCTCTCGCTGACGAAGCCGGGCGCCAGGAGGTGGGGGTTCAGGCTCAGGTTGAATTTCAGGGGTTGTCCTTTGTAATGCAGTTCATAGAAGGCGAGAAACTTGCTCCTGGAGGAAGGAGACCTTCGGTGAAGGGCTCGGTGGGACAAATCGTAGGAGAGGAAGGATCCGCTCTCGTCCACCTTGACAGGATGAACGATGTCGCCGCTGGAGTGTGGTGGAGGAGGCTCTGGGAAGAAAGGGATTCAGTGCTTACCTCTAAGGTTCATCCTCGGTCCTCTCCTACCCCTTCAGCTGGATGCTGAACTCCCAAGGCAGCCCAGCGGGGTCAGGTACCCAAATACCAGTTGGATCTGGTAACTGGTCCACGGCACAGAGCACGGAAGGACAGGAACCCCATGGCCTGGGGGGGTCAGGGCTGGGATTTTCTCTGGGAGAAGGTCGAGGTCAGGGTTAGGGGCAGGGTGGGGAGGGGTGGAGGGTCCGTGCAGCTCCAGAGCTCTGCTCCGGCCAGGGCTGCTCCCGGTTTCCATGCACGCGTTTGCAGCTGGGGGAAAAAAACAATCCCCAAAGAAACAAACAAAAAAACCGTAAAAAATAAAAGTCTTAAAACGGTGTTTGGAAG